ATGTCATGTGTATGATTGAGTATAAAACCTAGAAACACAAACGGATCTTAAAAGTCTACGTAGTGTTTCCTTGTTAGAAGATACAAAGCCAAAGACTTATAAGGACTTCCGCTACACCATCAAAGCTTTAAGACGCAAGAAGACGCTTGGTTATTTGTTTGGAGTTATATATGAGTTGATGTCATGTCTATGATTGAGTATAAGAATTAGAACCACAACCGGATTTTAAAAGCTTAAATAGTATTTTTTTTGTTAGAAGATACAAAGATAAAGACTCATACGGACTTCAGCTACACCATCCAAGCTTTTAGAAGAAAAAAGAAGCTTGGTTAGTGTTTTGGAGTCAAATCTGACTTGATTTCATGTGTATGATTTAGTATATGAACTAGAACGGCAACCGTATCTTAAAAGCCTAAGTAGTGTTTCCTTGTTAGAAGATACAAAGCCAAAGACTAATACAGACTTCGGCTACACCATCAAAGCTTTGAGAAGTGAGATGAAGCTTGGTTAGTGTTTTAGAGTCAAATATGACTTGATGTCATGTCTATGATTGGGTATAAGAACTAGAAACGCAACTGGATCTTAAAACCCTACATAGTTCTTCATTGTTAGAAGATACAAAACCAAAGAATCATACGGCCTTCGGCTAGACAATCAAAGCATTGAGAAGCAAGAAGAAACTTGGTTAGTGTTTTGGAGTCAAATATGACTAGATGTCATGTGTATGATTGAGTATAACAACTAGAACCACAACCGGATCTTAAAAGTCTAAGTATTGTATCCTTGTTAGAAGATACAAAGACAAAGATTCATACGGACTTCGGCTACACAATCAAAGCTTTGAGAAGCAAGAAGAAGATTGGGTAGGGTTTTGGAGTCAAATATGACTAGATGTCATGTGCATGATTGAGCATAAGAACTATAACCGCAACCAGATCTTATAAGCCGAAGAACTGTTTCCTTGTTAGAATATACAAAGCCTAAGACTCATAAGCACTTCCGCTACACCATCAAAGTTTTGAGACGCAAGAAGAAGCTTGGTTAGTTTTTTGGAGTCCAATATGACTAGATGTCATGTGTATGATTGAGCATAAGAACTTGAACCGCAACCGGATGTTAAAGCCTAAGTATTGTTTCCTTTTTAGAAGATACAAAGCCAAAGACTCATAAGGACTTCCGCTACACCATCAAAGTTTTGAGACGCAAGAAGAAGCTTGGTTAGTGTTTTGGAGTCAAATATGACTTGTTGTCATGTGTATAATTGATTATGAGAACTAGAACCGCAACCCGAACTTAAAAGCCTAACTAGTCTTTCCTTGTTAGAAGATACAAAACCAAAGGCTCATATGGACTTTGGCTACACCATCAAAGCTTTGAGAAGCAAGAAGAAGTTTGGTTAGTGTTTTGGAGTCATATATGACTTGATGTCATGTCATGATTGGGTATAAGAACTAGAACCGCAACTGGATCTTAAAAGCCTAAGTAGTCTTTCCTTGTTCGAAGATACAAAACCAAAGACTCATACGGACTTCGGCTACACCATCAAAGCTTTGAGAAGCATGAAGAAGCTTGGTTAGTGTTTTGGAGTCAAATATGACTTGTTGTCATGTGTATAATTGATTATGAGAACTAGAACCGCAACCCGAACTTAAAAGCCTAAGTAGTCTTTCCTTGTTAGAAGATACAAAGCCAAAGGCTCATACGGACTTTGGCTACACCATCAAAGCTTTGAGAAGCAAGAAGAAGTTTGGTTAGTGTTTTGGAGTCATATATGACTTGATGTCATGTCTATGATTGGGTATAAGAACTAGAACCGCAACTGGATCTTAAAAGCCTAAGTAGTCTTTCCTTGTTCGAAGATACAAAACCAAAGACTCATACGGACTTCGGCTACACCATCAAAGCTTTGAGAAGCAAGAAGAAGCTTGGTTAGTGTTTTGGAGTTAAATATGACTAGATGTCATTTATATGTTTAACTATAACAACTAGAACCGCAACCGGAACTTTAAAGCCTAAGTATTGTAGCCTTGTTAGAAGATACAAAAACAAAGACTCATGACTTCGGCTACACCATCAAAGCTTTGAGAAGCAAGAAGAAGATTGGTTAGTGTTTTGTAGTCAAATATGACTAGATGTTATGTGTATGAATGAGCATAAGAACTAGAACCGCAACCGGATTTTAAAGCCTAAGTAGTCTTTCCTTCTTAGAAGATACAAAGCAATAGACTCATAAGGACTTCCGCTACGCCATCAAAGCTTTGGGACACAAGAAGAAGCTTGGTTAGTGTTTTAGAGTCCAATATGACTTGATGTCATGTGTATGATTAAGTATGAGAACTAGAACCGCAAGCGGATCTTAAAAGCCTAAGTGGTATTTCCTTGTTAGAAGATACAAAGCCAAAGACTAATACAGACTTTGGCTACACCATCAAAGCTTAGAGAAACAAGATGAAGCTTGGTTATTGCTTTCGAGTCAAATATGACTAGATGTCATGTGTATGATTGAGTATAAGAACTAGAACCGTAACCGGATTTTAAAGCCTAAGTAGTGTTTCCTTGTTAGAAGATACAAAGTCAAAGACTCATCCCGACTTTGACTACACCATCAATGATTTGAGAAGAAAGAAAAAACTTGGTTAGTGTTTATGACTAGATTTCATGTGTATGATTTAGTATAAAAACTAGAACTACAACCAGATCTTTAAAGTCTAAGTAGTGTTTCCTTGTTAGAAGATACAAAGCCAAACACTCATAATGACTTCCGCTACACCATCAAAGCTTTAAGACGCAAGAAGAAGCTTGGTTAGTGTTTTGGAGTCAAATATGACTAGATGTCACGTGTATGATTGAGTATAAAAACTAGAACCGCAACCGGATCTTAAATGCCTAAGTATTAAATCCTTGTTAGAAGATACAAAGCCAACGACTCATACGGAATTCGGGTACACCATCAAAGCTTTGAGAAGCAAGAAGATGAGGCAGCAGACACTACTCGACCCTCCTACTCGATCCTTTACTCGACCCCTTTACTCGATCAAGGGCGACCTACTCTACAAGACTTGTTGATCATTCAAAGCGTCTTCGGATCCTCCTCATTCCCCACTCAACCAGACATCTGAGCATATAGATAAGCGAGGAAGAAGCATCTACTCGACCAATTGATCACTCGGAGCATGGAGGCAAAGATGCAGACTTTGCAACACCCTCTTTACTCCATCCCCAAGATCCACCATCCATCCAAACCACCTCAAGTCTCTTGTTTTCTAGTGAATCAAGGGTTTTTGAGACTTTAGTATATATAGGTCACTTTGGGATTTTCTCAAAGGACCAAGCTTTTATCTCTTAGTTTGTCTTTGTGTTTTAGAATCTTGAAACCTTAATTACTCTTAATCTATTTCGTTTTTGCATTTAGTTTTTTTTGAGAAAAGTTGTTTATCTTGTTTAGATCTACATTTTGGTATGATTTCAGTAATTTCTAGGTTTGTGTTCTTAGTTATGTTGCTTGAGTAGTGATTAGGGTTCTTGAGGATGGATTAGATTAGGGTAATCTCTATATTAGTCAGGTGGTTAAGATTAGGTTAGATTCCTTCTGGATTTGTAGGCCCCTATGCAGTTTTCGGTGGCTAATGTGGGAATTCGACCATAGGTATCAAGCGTCCAAAAGACGTTCAAATGGATGTCTGATCTACGAATTCCAAATATTTGTAGATTCTAGCCCAAGAGATTGGATGTTTAGACTGTTTATTGACTTTGGTAGATTGTTGCTTAAACCCTGCTCTGTTATGTTTCATCAACGAGAGTTAAGATTAGGAAGTCGTCGAGTTATGGGGGTCTCTGTCACGAGAATTGATTGACCCGGTTTTTGAATCTATCGTCTAGGGTATCTGCCTTTCGCCTGTTAGCCACCTGATGAACCCTAGAGTTACCCTTATCAATGAATCCATCCTTAGGACTTCTATTCTTCTTAGATTTATTCGCATCCACCCCCTGATTGCACTTTTATTTACCTGTTATTTCATTCACCTGTTGATTGCATTTTTAGTTATTAAATTTGTCACCTGTTGGTTCTACTCGACCCAATGATCTAGTAGGGCTCTTCAGTTCTCGTTTTTGTTGTTTGCATCCTGACCTAGGATTGTTACTAGAAACCAACCATCATTATAATCTGGCTTGACTTAGTTGCTTTTGTACACATATTGATTGCTAGCAATAACAGTGGACTGGATTGACACCCCTATAGCTACATCGACATGTTAGTGTTTAAGGGGAATTGAACTGAACACACAACACTTCAGCACATAAGTAGGCCTTAAAACCTACTTATCAATTTGGCACCGTTGACAATTCATTGTTGCATTGTTACATTCAAGATATCAGAAAAAGTTAAGATCAAGTTCTTTTACATTTATCAAGTTACTAACTCATCTTTTCGTCTGCTTGTTTTTGTGGTATAGGTACTAATCTTTGTGCATGCATACTCGGTCCAAAGGTTCTGCACATCTGCTACCTTTCAAAGACAGAATTGACAGAATAGCTCATGAGTTACAAGAAACCAAAGCGAAGGCAGTCTGTGATCAGCAAAGACTAGCTGCTGTGGATCAACAGAACATACCAGTCTATGTTCAAGACCCACCTATAGTTGATCAACCAAGAAAAAATTAGTGCAGGTGATGCCCCAAGGAATCATCACCAAAGACAAGTGATAGTGCCACCACTAGTTCAGAACAACAACTTTGAAATCAAGAGTGGTCTCATCTCGATGATTCAAGGAAACAAATTTCATGGTTTGCCTATGGAAGATCCCCTGGACCATCTTGACAGCTTTTATAGGCTCTGTGGCCTTACAAGATCAATGGTATCACTGAAGATATGTTTAAGCTCAGACTATTTTCCTTCTCTTTGGGTGACAAGGCACACCACTGAGAGAAGACTCCATCAACTCATGGGATGAAAGTGAGAAAGCTTTGTTTGCCAAGTTCTTCTCTAATGTTTTAACAGCTAGATTGAGGACCGAGATCTCCGGGTTCACACTGAAAAACAATAAAACTTTCTGTGAAGCCTGGGAAATGTTCAAAAGCTACACCACTCTGTGCCCCCATCACGGTTTTAAGAAAGCTTCATTATTGAACACACTCTATAGGGGAGCTTTACCAAAGATCATAATGCTACCCGACAGTGCCTCAAATGGAAACTTCCTAAACAAGGATGTAGCAGAAGGATGGGAGTTAGCCAAAAATCTAGCACAATCTGATGGGTGTTACAATGAAGACTATGATCGCTCAGTGAGAGGAACTGGAGGCAGTGAGGATAAACAGAGCAAAGATATCAAGGCCCTGAATGAAAAGCTAGACAAGCTGTTACTGGCTCAGTAGAAGCAGATACACTACATCATTGATGAAGAGCACTTCCAAATGCAAGGGGGGAATGACCAAACTAAATAGTTGTGCTACATTCAGAAACAAGGAGGTTTGAACAAGGGCTACAACAACTACAAACCCAACCCAAACCTCTCCTACAGAAGCACTAATGTAGCTAACCCCCAAGATCAAGTGTATCCACCACAACATAATTAGTCTAAGCCATTTGTTCAGTACAACCAAGGTTATGTCCCCAAACAGTAGTTTAATGGAGGCTACCAACAGCAGAATCCACCATCAGGATTCACTCAACAACCACAACAAGCCCTAATAGCTCAAGATCCTGAAATTAAGCAACTTATTTAACATATCATTTAAGGACAAGCTACCGAGCTATGGCTTTTGACAAGAAGATCGCTGGATTACATGACAAAATAGATTGTTCTTACAATAATCTAAATGTCAAGTTTGAAGCTCTGAATTCCAAAGTCAAGTATGTGGAGAGTCAGTTCGCATCCACCTCTGCTCTGAAGCATCTTCAGCAACTTCCAGGAAAAGCAGTTCAGAATCCTAAGGACTATGCTACTGCAAATGCTATCACCATTCACCAAGAAGATGGGTCTCCACCAAGTCATCAAACTCCCAATACGGAGGACAGTATGGTTCAAGAAGGGGGGGATTCAACTCCAATTGCTGCACCTGCCACCCAACAATTCATCTGGACTATAGAGCACACACCTCTGCTGGATACTCACCATTTAAAAAAGAAATTCAAAGTAGAAAAAACCAAGAAGGATTAGAACCAAGAGATGATTAGTAGTGTCACCGCTTAAGAAACTTACAACAAGAAAGTCATCCAAGAAAAGCTAGATGATCATGGTTCATTCACTCTACCATGCTGTCTAAGACCATTGACATTCAACAGGTGCCTTTGTGATTTGGAAGCATCTGTTAGCCTTATGCCTCTATCTACAACTAAAAGGCTAGGGATCATGGAATACAAGTTCTGCAACCTAGCTTTACTCTTAGTTGATGGTTCTGTTACACATCCTCATGGTCTAATAGAAAATCTGCCTGTCAAGTTTGGAAATGTTGAGATACCTACAAATTTTGTGGTATTGGTCCAATACTATTGGACATATATGAAGAAGGAAAGGATCTCCTGATCCTAGGCAGACCATTCTTACCTTCAGCTGGAGCAGTCATAGATGTCAGGAATGGAAAGATTAATCTGAACCTTGAAAAAGGCATCAAGATGAAATTTGACATCAGCGATGCTTCATGAAAGCCAACAAGAGAAGGGTAGAATTGCGAAGTCCATGACATGAATGTTGATGAAGAAACAGAAGCTGGAACCCCACCAAGATTCAACTATACTTCTCAACTCAGCAAGCTGAAGAGAACTTTTGACCACAAGAAGAAAACCTTAAATGGGTTAGTTCAGACTGAAGATCCTACATAAGATGACTGGTATGAGATGAAAAAAAAAATTAAATGGCAAAGTAGAGTCATAAAGAGGTTATCTTCAAGGGTGATGAAGCTGAAAGATCAACTATAGATGTTTGAAAAAAGAGTTAATAAGTATTCAATGGGTATTGACCCACAGAAGATGGAAACTGCACTAGCTATCAAAGAGGACAATCATTTTACAACAAAATGGTTTGCATGAGAATATCAGAAAGGAGTTCATTTAGAGGAAAGTATCTTAGAGAGTAAGTTGTTGAGTGAGGAGGAAATCCTTATTCCGGCTTATTCTCCACGAGTGCCTAAACAGCCCACCAACCCCTCTAGTGAAGAAGAACACTTGATTTTTGATTCTGTTGCTGAAGAACTCTTGGAGCTCTAGATTGGATATCAAGCTCAGGAGGATGCAATTGTAAATTTAACTCATAAGATGGAAAAGTTAAACAGCACCATTCTGGAACTTCAAGAAATGATTAAAGGCTACCCCAGTTTTGAAATTAAGGATTGGTCAAAGGAACCTGGTTCAGAAGATGAAGACTACTTTGCTGATCAAAAGGAAGCTTATTTTGAAGAAAAATCAAATGATTACTCATCCTACCATATGTCAAGGGAGAATGCAGAGTATGACTTAGGCATTGAAAGTTCAACCACTGAAAATGAGGACTTCTCAGCTCCTCTCTTCAACCTTTTTTCTGACTAAGCTCTGTAAGAGTCAAGCTCAGTGACTTAAAACAAGCTCACTTGGGAGGAAGTCCCATGTCTATCTATATATATATAACTTTATATTTTCTTTGTTATTTTTGATGTTTTTGTTTAAGTGTTTCAGGTTTATTTCATTGACCTTGAGGAAGTCAACGGTCGAGTAAATTCAAATCAAGTCAAGAAAAGATCTCAACCGTTGATCGAGTAAAATGAGGAGGAATATTCTAAGCCATTGGATTGAATGACCAAATGAAAGAAATTGTCTCCACCGTTTGATCGAGTGACAAGCTACAAAATTCATCTCCACCGTTTGATCGAGTGCTTAAGAATGAAGCATTCTCCACCGTCCGATCGAGTGGAGAAACCAAAGTGACCACCTTGTGGACTGCAACGCCTCGTGACCCGCCTCCATTCAATCCCATGATGCCTCCTTGTCTTCTTGTCCCATCATAATCACTTTGGTCCCCCTCCCTATCGCAATTCCCGAAGTCAACAACCTCATCTCTCCACCTCGCATACCAAAACATTCTCGAATTCTTATAACTCTCTCTCTTTCCTTCACTTCCCCTTCTTATCAAAAACTTTGCAAAATTCATTTGATTTCTCCATCATTCGATTTCCTAACCTACTAAATTTGGGTTTTGAGTCTCTCCCATTCTTGTTCTCAATGACAAATAGGCGCACGCTCTTGTCAAGGATCCGAAACAGAGCTCTCTCCCCATCAAAGAGGTGTCCAACACCTTCTTCGCATGCAGCAGCTCAAGGACTCTCTGAACCATCACCCATGGGGTCGAGCAGGAGAGAACAAGCAAGTTTCAAGATCGATCACAGCGAATCAAGCCAAGAAGAGGAAGCGATGCGAGAAGAAGAAACTTTCAACTCTCCTGCCAAAAGCACCTGATCCCGAAGGTCGAGTAAGGCCTCAGCAAGGGAGTTCTCGAGGAATAAGGCAGCCATTACTAGAGGAAAGAAGCCCGTGGGGAGGAGGTTGGAACTGGTAGATGAAGATTCTGAAGAAGAAATGGCTTCATCGGGGGAAGCTGATCAAATAGAGAAAGAAGGTGGTGATGATTTAGAATAAGAGAATTGCGCAATTCGAAACGAGTAATACAGGCTGCTGAAGCGCAACGAGTGTTTAGGAACTCGATGCCCTCATCCTGAGACCATGGAGAGACTCGACATCTATGATGATGTAGACTACATGTTTAAGCAATGCAGCCTGAATATTCACATGTTTCGACCAATGTAGGGGCATGAAGAAGAGACCATCCAGTTTCTTTCATCCGTGGAATTGTTCATATATAAAGAGTTAGAGGACGATGGAATCAGGCTAGACGGAAGTTTGGGATACTTGGAGTTCTGTGTTTATGACGTAGAGTATCGGCTTCCAATCGAGCATCTAGAGCTGATGTATGGGTTTCCAAGCGGAAAAGACACGAGTCATCGTTTTGACAAAAGAGAGCTTCAGTCATTCTGGGCCACGCTTGGGTTTTAACAGGGGTTTTCGTCCTCTAGGACAAAGAGCAACGAAATAAGGAGTCTGGTGGTTAGATACTTTCATAGGTCTTTAGCTAGTACACTATTTCCAAGAGAGAGTAATGGGACCTTTGTCAATGGAGAGCTAGAGTTGATGGAGACAGCGCTGCAGGAGTTGCTTGGGTTAGCATTGGATGGTCTCGTTCTAGCTGGAGATCAGATAGACGCTTCAGTTTCATTCTACCTAATCGAACATTTGCTGAGGTACAGAGATGGGCTAAGGGTTGTGGTAGGAGAAGTGACCCCAATTTTGAGAGCATGCAATGTACCTCTGCATTCAAAGCCGATTCCTCCGAGATAGATTGATATGCAACACCTCATCAATTCCAAGAGCTTTTGGTCGTAGCAGAAGAATAGCCTATATAAATATAGGTTTGATCACCCTGAAGCAGGACAATCTATTTTTTCCCTCTCAAATCTCGCTTCCACTTCGATTAGAGATGGCGGCAACATCGAGTTTTGTCCACTAGTAGAGAACCTCTATGCTTCAGGTGATGAAGTTGTGCCGATGGAAGGAGTGAATGATGATGAGGCTCCAATTCGACATTCAGATAAGGAGGCAGAATCTATGGATATGCAACACAACGGTTTTACTTTAAGGAGTACTACGCGCCAAGGCAGAGTAAAGACAAAGAAAATTCACAAGCGCCTTGGTTTTCTCCAAAGCTGGTGTAACCTTCAAGACATGGCTTTCGCAACACTCAACAAGAAGTTTAACGCTCTCCAACTCAAGTTCAGCTGTTCTTCTTCTACTACGGCGATGCCACAGGACATGCCTTTTAGGAGAAGCGGATCCACTCGACATGAACCTATGCAATATGATCCGCCTGCGCCACCAAGACAGACTTCATATGAGCCGAGAGAACACCATGTTGCACCTTTGAACCTAGGGAGAAGGAGAGGAGGAGTAAGATAAAGAAGCGCATAAGGACAGAGAAATTGGATGCTGGGGCAAGCCACTCTACCGCACCACTCGAGGAGCCACTTGATCAACAGCCCGAGCAAAGGGTAGAGCATCCAACTAATCCAATTCCAGCACAACCCACTC